TTTATATGGTCTGGATCAATTCATTGTTCAAAACCAAATATTGTTCCATGGCATATTATTTGTTAAAACTATGTTGGAATTTTGTTAAAGGAGAAAAGGATTGGGCTTCTATCTTATCCAGTAGAGTTTATAAGAGAAATGGTGAAGTTGTTCATTATTTGACATCTACTATCTGGGCTAGTATAAGAGATATGTATTCATCTGTTAAGATTAATTCTACCTAGCTTATAGGAAATGGTAAGAAGGTTAAGTTTTGGAAAGATCGATGGCTTTATACGCCTATTGTTAATATTCTGAATATTGATGCCTCCTTGCACTCCAAGTTGACATCCTCTATAGATTGTTTCATTTGTAATGGGTTTTGGCATCTACCTCCCTTTCTTTAAAGTAGGATTGGTGACCAGATCACTAGCATTGTCCTTCCCTTTGTTGAGGATGAAGACTCTCTTAAGTGATCTTTTTCCTCTAATGGAGATCTATCTTTTAAAGAGGCTTTCTCTTTTATTAGACAATCAAAGCCTAAGCTCAATTGGGCTAAGAAGATTTGGAATCTCCATCTTTCCCCCTCCAAATCTTTTGTTCTATGGAGGCTTATGCATGATAAACTCCCATTTAAGGATCTTCTTCGGAAAAAAGGGGTTGTTATCACCTCTACATGTTCACATTGTTAAAATGCCTATGAAATTACCGCTCATTTATTTTTTGAATGTCTTTTTGTCCTAAGTCTTTGGGACTAGTTATCTAGAATAGTATATAATAGTTTGAATATTGTAAATATTTTGGATATTCTTAATAAACCTTGGAGTAAATTAGCTAATTTTGTGTTATTGGCTACTATTACTTTTATTATTGATGAAATATGGCATAGTCGAAATCAAATAAAATTTAAAAACTCTTTTGTCAAAATTGATTTTATGAAAAATAAGATTTTATCTTTAGTGAATTCCTGTTATTCTTTTACTTCTTATTCTATGAAATTTAACATTAAGGAATTTAATCTTTTAAAAGCTTTCTTGTTGCCTTGTAGGTCAAGAAAAGTTATATCCACTACTGAAGTTTGTTGGATCCCTCCCCCCAGCTGGATCAAGTGCAATACAGATGGAGTTTTCTCTGCATACACTTTTTCAATTTCTTGTGAGATTATTTTTAGAGATAGCTCAAAAAATATGATTGGATGTTTAGATGATTCAGTTGTGGTCAGAGTAGTGTTGGAAGCGAAAGTTTTGGCAGTCATTCGTGCAATTCAGCTTGCTCATGATCTTGGTTGGATGTCTCTCTGGCTAGAGTTTGAATCTTTGCTTGTCATCAAGGCTTTCTATAGTCTTTCTTTAGTACCCTAGCATCTTAGTCTTCAGTGGTTTAATATGCTTGATTCTATTAGGAATATGAGATTTTGATTCTCTCATGTATATAGAGAGGGGGATGGATGTGCTAATAGCTTAGCGAGGTTTGATCTTAGACATCCTGGTTCTTCTTGGTGAACTACTATTCCTTTTTCATTGTTACTTCTTACTCTAGGGAAAGGTGTGGTCTTTCACACTTTAGGTTCTCATAGGGTGAGCAATGGATACCTTTTTGTATTTGTCTTTTATATATGTTTAGTGTTATGTAGTCTTTTTAATATGCTGCACATGATAGTTGTGATTTGAGGTGCTTAACCTTCAAAAATTTTAATTCACTTTTTGTTTGTAAATTTTAAAATTAATTTAAATTAAATTAGGAACAATTAATATATATATATATATATATATATATATATAAGGAGGAATTCATTCACTTTATAGGAATATATCTATATAGACATACTTTATTCAATAACTCATGTTTTACATTAAATTTTAATGATCCAATCGTTGAATTTAAAGTTTTAAATTTTTAAAAAATTTGTAAACTTGATCTACGTAATAAAAAAACTTTAAATTTAACAATTAAATTATTAAAATTTGATGTATAAAAAAAATTATTGAATAAAATAAGTCTAGATAGATAAACACATATGCATGAGGGACCCTTGAGTTTATAAAACAGTGTCATCAATAGATAAACATCAATAAGCAATACAAAACTGGAACACATAAAAATTAACAATAAGAAAATAATAAATACAGCTTTTACCATAATATAATTGCATAATGTCTTTCATTCAGTTTATATAGTATAAAGTCTAAATTTTTATATTCTTTTTTTCATAATTTATAAATAGGTTTTTTTTATTGTATCTATTCAAATATTTTGATTTGATGTTAGTATGTTTGGTTTTATTACTTTCAGAATGGTTAAGCTAAATATTCGCATAATTCATCGGTGGACAATATCGGAATACAAATATTTTGATGAAATTAACTACATTGAAATATTTCTAATAGACAAAAAGGTAAGCTTGTTTACTGTATAATACAGTTTATATTGCATTTTAAAATATCAACCATTACATAAGAAAAAAAAAACTCAAGATTTTAGTTAAGAATAATAAAGATTAAGGTACTAAAATTTCTTCAAATGTGATTTATAAATAAGTGTATTGCAATATATGAATAGATATAATTCTACAATTAAATTAATCCTTTTCCTTTTGTCTTATATTCAAATGAATAATAATTTTACATTTAATTTATCAAATTTTGTTATAACAAAACACATGCTTACAACAATATTAATTATTAAGCATAGAAATTATATAATTTTCTAATTTGATGTTTTAAATTAAATAATTCACCAATTAAAAATAATAGATATTTTCCTTATCAAAGAATGAAACATAAACCTTATATTACATGTTGTAGTGTAGAAATTAATACATATTCATAGAGAATGTATGTAAATTAACTAATTTTCTATAACCTCATCATAATAGATTCTTCGATATCAAAGATTCATGTAGAAAATAACATTATTCAATAATTCTCTCAAATACCATATTAATTAGTTATATAAAGTCATTATTTTATACATTAATTTATAAATGCTATATAATCAACTATTTCTATTAGTATTAAATAAAGATAAAAATAATTTTAAAATGTAAAAAATACACTTTAAAACTTAAAACTAATTAAAATAGTTCATTTTTTTTTATCATATCTACTATTATATAATATGTATTTTAAATCAATAACTTGTGAATTGCACGAATAGACATACTAATAAAGAATAAAACTAATAAGTTTATTGGAAGATAAATTTGTGTTTTATTTAAAACAATACATATTTTAAAATAAATCATAATCATAAATAAATGTCATATTAAACCTTTAAAATATATTCCTATCATATAAATAAAGTAAACTCAATTTTTATAAGATTTAACATTTATTTTGATATTAAATTATTACAAAGTAAACTCTTAAGTCAATTTATTGGCCAATACGAACTTAGTCCAGATGAAGTTCAAACCAGATATTTTTAATCAAAGCCTAAAAAAATCTAACCAATTTTCACACTAACCTTAAAACTCTAACGATGGTCGTTTACTGGAGTATGATATAGACGACAAAGGAATGAATTATACAACTAAGTAAGCCAATATAGCGTCACTTAAATGCAAAAATATAAAGTTCTTGAAATTTTTTTTGACCCTTTAGAGGCAGCCACATTCTATACAGCCAGATCAAATAAATGAGAACACATTTTCTAAAGGCCAAATTAATTAATACCTCGTATTTTTTTTTTTAATAAGAAACAAGTTATATATTTTCACACTAACCTTAAAAGACAAATGATGGTCGTTTACTAAAATATGATAAACAACTACAGAATGAATTCTACAATTTAGTAAGTAACCCAATATAGCGTAACTTATAAAAACAATGCAAAAATATGTTCTAGATAGAATAGGCCTTGAGAGGCTCAACCTGACTTAAAGATTATGTAGGATGATCTTAAAATGTTTTTGTTTTATTTATTAATATTAGTTTTATTTTAATTTTTTAAAATACTAGATGATGATGATGACACATGTAAAATTATCATTCATTAAGTTTGTTATTTAAAGTGAAGTTTGCGTTGCATTAAAAATGAATGAAAATCATGAATGTTAGTTTTTTTTATTTATTATAGCATTTTATTAAAGTGAAGTTTCCTATCAAATTCTTTCACCCTTTAGAGGGGGGCCACATTCTATGCAGCCAGATTATATAAATGAGAACGCAAATTTTCCAAAGGCCTAACTAACTACTACCTTCGGTACTTTTACCCTATAACTTGTTTCTCATAATACATTGGAGCCGAGTTAGAGCCATATTTGAAAAACGGAGGTTGAATATGAAAGGAGTAAAAGGAAGACGAAAACCTGATCTAGAAAATCAAGTTTTGTACATAAATAAAATAATAAAAAAAAAAGTCAATTCGTGATCTAATACATGTGCAAGGGCAGCATAAGAAAAAATTTTCGTGACCTGTATGAGATATGCAAATGGACTTCCTTAACCTCTTGATAGATGGCAAACTTAAATAGTCAGAAGCATATTAAAGAACCTCGCGTTTACCCTAGTATAATTCTTGAAGGATATTAGAGATTGGGATGGAATTATTATTTGGGAAAAATCCACCAGATCATTTGTGTCAATAAACCAGGAAGAAGGTTCTAAAGAAACAAAACTTAGTTTTTGAATAACATACAGGACTTTCCTCTAAAACCTTAACGGAACTACTTAAGGAACCCACTTAACTACACAAAATTGGTTCAGAAAAAGCACGAACCAAAATGTATGAACAAGGAGGGCATGAGACACGAGCAAGTAGAAAGTGATAAAAAGACGTAGGCAAAGGGAGAGGACCAAGCAAGAAGATAACAAGTTCCAAACAAGCAATGCAGCCATGCAGGTGACATAGGCGTGGAGTCAATACTATCACACTTCTGCTAATTTCACACCAATTGGCAGATCAATACTATCGCATATTATGCATTCCCCGTTGCAGTCAATTTAGCACATATCAAATTAAAAAAATTAATTTTTTAATCGCAAATCGCAATACTTATCTTATTTACTTCACATCAAATAGGAGCAAGAATACTATCTTGTTGATTAAAATGATATAAAGGAAGTCATATCGACAAATCATATCTCCATGAAATCAAATAAGAATAGATTTAGGGGTAGGTGGGGAGTGTTTTGAAGAGTAGAGAACAATACTAAAGAAATGGAATCTAAACATACATCTGCCTTATTATGCAGATCTCTACTCTAGTATGGACTGAGCAAATAATTAAAATAATGAGGGGCTAAGAAGAGTTTGACGGACTTTATTTCTGGATAGCCTCAATTTTATAACACGAACATAAATAGAATCACATGAGCAAGCCAAAGCAGCAGTCTGTGAGCTAACATTAACCACCTCGACTCTGCAGTAACATTCACAATCTGTGGCCGTGTACCACCACATCCGACAGGAAACTTTATATTAATCAGCCCTGGATTGACCAGCACGGGAAGAAAGGATGATGCCAACAATGAGACCGTATAATGCCAATGCCTCAGCAAAAATGAGAATGAGAATCATTCCAACAAAAAGCTTTGGCTGCTGAGCATTTGCTCTGCAAGTGTTATCAGCATGTCATATTCAAATCATTGAGCTATCAGTTATCACCATTAGTAAATTCTGAATCAACAGGAGTGAACCAAAAATGCATCATGGTGTGTTGTCACCTATAACTAACCAAATTGAACTTTTCCAAACTAGAGATACAATACACTCATTTGAAGATCTGAAGAAACCAACAATGTATCTTGCAGTGGAGTAAATTAGATTGATTACAGTTTTGTACTACATTTAGCTGGTCCTTGCATTTTATCACAAATAGACATGTAAACATTCAATCTTTATATCAGTAAACTTACATGAACTCTTCCATACTTCCCTGCTAACTTGGTAACCATTTCTTTTTCTAATTACACCAATTAGTCGATTAAACAAAATTTTCATAAATTGCTTAACCATATATTCCTTTGACAGTATCACGCCACATTCTTCATCTCTCCAAAAGTATTGCAATATTTTAAAGGCCATTATGATTTCTGATTCACAAATAATTCATTGATTGCAGCATATAGAAATGAAACACAGTTGACAATATATACAAGTTTTTAAACATCAAGAAAATTTGCTAAAAACTGAGTAGAAAGAAGCTATTTCAATGGGTATCAAAGCAGCGGTAAGTTGCACAAAGATGAGAATCAAAATATCACATCAAGTCATCCAAGTACCAAAGCTATTTGGATTCACATTAAATTATCCAAAATCACGTTGAAACACCAACTACCATGATTTTAGGCACATGTTTAGTTCTACATTGAGAAAATGATTCTAGTTCATAATTGATTTTAAGTTGAAGCAACCTGTATGGATATAGGTCGTATCCATTCCTAAACACTTCAAGACATAACCATACAAGTTCGAAATTGACTCCTAAACACCTCGCATTTATCCTAAGTTTTACTACTTGCTTTTAGAATAAAAACATCTAACATAAATCATCACTTCAAAATCAAATTTCCAACCGCTCACTCAAACACACTAAGCGAACAAAGTATTGAAAAATCACAAACAGCAGCAGTAACAATAGTAGTAACTACCAAGAAGTGGCACAAATAAGTTTGGGAATCATAGAAAAACAACAAGACATATCAATTCCTAAGCATTTTCGACAAGGTTAACCAGCTCTAGCCAGCATTTCTCAATTTCTTCACTCTAGTCCTGCAAATACAAACTTGCAACCACACAAAACACTCCTTAAAAAAAAAAGTGTACGAACTCCTCCTATGCAATACATGAATTCCCATTACCAATACCAATCACACCAACACAAAAACCACAACAAAATAAAACTGAAAACACACTCTCCCCATCACATGCCACTAAGGGTATATTTGTAAACCAGTGAAGTTAAAGTCCACTCAAAAAAAAAAAAACTAAACTTACAAACTTTTACTTTTTCTGCATCAGAACATGTGTTTTAAACAAATATCCATACATATCTATTAAACGTGGGTTTTTACTTTTTAGTCTCCACTTTCTTCTAGAACATTATACCCCTCATATGCTAAAAAAGATAATTTTGATCCTATCTGAATAACCACCCACAACGATTAGAGACTAAAGTGGCTAGAGGCCAGTAGTACAAAAATAATGAAAGCATAAAGCAGCAACCAAAACCTTGATTTGAAAAAGAGGAACGAAAGCGAAAGGTTGAGAAATGAAAGAAATACCTAACACCGGCATCGCCGACGATGCCGATGGCCATGCCAGCGGAGAGGCCAGCGAGGCCACAGGCGAGGCCCGAAGAGAGGTGCGCGTAACCGTCGAAGAGGTAATACGATTTGGCCTTAGGGTTAATCCCAGTGCTGATGATAACCGCAATGATCAAACCGTAGATACCCAACACACCAGCCATCACAACCGGCACGATCGACTTCATCACCAGCTCCGGCCTCATCACGCCCATCGACGCCACCCCGACGCCGCTCTTCGCCGTGCCGTACGCCGCTCCCATGCCTGAAACCACCCCAAATTTCAGCAAACCACAACGATTGAGGGAATTGAAAAGGGAAAGA